GATCGCCCCAGCACTGAGATGGGCTCCATTGCCAGTGACGTCACTGGTTTTGACACTTCTTGTCACAACCACCCCAGCTGGTGGTGGTTCCTGAGGGGAAAAGGTTTGGGATATTTTTGGATCCCAGGCACTGAATGCAAGAGCCCTTCATTTGGGGTTCTGCCCCTGTCTCTGAGGTGACATGACTCAAAGTCAGGTGTTGCAAGAACTTGCTGGGAAAGGGCAAAATCCAGCCCAGCATGCCAGCTCTTGCCTATTCCAGCATCCAACTGTGAGCTTATTTTCCAGCCTCTGGGCCAGCAGAAAGCAAGGTACTGATATTGCCAGAGTTCCTAAGGCCAAACTGTAAACTCTTCAGCAACAGGTAAAAAAAATGGAAAAAAAGGAGGACTATGCGGCTGTGCCAGCTTACTGGTTAGGAGTAGTAATTCCTGTTATTTTCATTATTATCTAAAAGGTCTGGTTTAATCCCTCTTATCACTACCAAAGAGTGCCAAAAGAAGCAGCAGTCCCAAGACAAGTCCCCTTGCACAGCAAACTCTGCTGATGCTCAAGAAAGTCATGTCACAGAAGCACTACCAAGAGCAAGACAAGGATCTGTTTAATTGATAGGTTTAGGTTGTGGTGGTAGTGGCTTTTTTAAACAAATTATTTACAGCCCAGAAGGTCTCTGAATCCCAAGTCACCCATGTGCAGCAACACAGCCTAGTTACTTGAGAGTTATTGTAGATACATGTAGTTATTGTAGATACACGCTCATGAATCATTTAAGGCAACCACGTTAGAAAATGGGCTCAGTGACCTAGGCGTCAGCCCCCTGCATTCAGTCAGCTCATCCTACGTTCAGAAGCAGCCCTGCTACAAAAAGGTTACAGTCTCTGTTGAGATTTGCAAGACAGACAATGTTTGCATGTACCATCACTTTACTTTCCTCCCTACATAGCTTATTTGCTGGAAGCCTCCCAGGTGCATCTTTAGGTAACATGAAGATGTACCAGATGGAACTTGTTAGTCTAATCAACAGCCATAAAATGGTGGCTGCCCTCCTTTTTGGGGTCAAATGGAAAGGAAGGAGAGAGGTAACAGCAGATTTTTGAGGCTAGTCTACTCAGGCTGTAGTGTTTTGAGTTTTATTCAGTGTTTTCAGTGGCTTTTTCTTTTGCATGCTTGTTCTCAGTGTGATAAAGAGCATTGTTTAAGTAATTTAGAGCTGGTAGAAATATTTTTAATGAAAAACTTTTCAAATACTTTGTAAGGAATTAAAAATTAATACTCATTTGGTTTTTGTATGAGACTGTGTCCTGAAATAAACCTATGCTCCTATTGTAGTATCATCTGACGTGACCTAGACTCTTTCAGTGGAAGAGAGAAGTTTGTGTAGAACTCTGAGAACTTACGCTACTTGGATGGCCTGATATGCTTTGTCTTAACACACTTACCTATAAACCTTACTTTAGGAGGGAATTTGTTACCAGTGCAGAATGAGGTGTTTTACAGTTAACTGCTCTTCATAGCCAGTGCCACATTCTTGAATCTTCAACGTGCCTAAGCTGTGACATCACCTGGACATTGCAAAGGATTACTCAGTGTTGAACGTCACGTTGTTTAGCCTTCCAGCTCCACCTAACTATTTTTTCAACATCTGATAAATTTGCTAATTGTAGGCTACTTGTATTAATGACTTAACAGGTGTGTAATGCAAACACTTGCAATGTGGCACAACTGATTTATTTATTTACTAACTCAAAACTGCTATATTTTTAGGAGTACAAGGGAAAAGGATATACAACTCTTTCATGGGGGGATTACTCATTCAACAAAATAATGATTTAAAAAAAAGTATGTATATAAAAACAGATTTCCTGCCTTCATGTACAATTCAAAGAAACAGGTGTTAACACACAGGTTACTTGAAGTTGCAACTTCCTTGCTGATTTTGGTTCAGCAAATTGCAACTGTTAAGTCATCTGCTCTGCAGACACTGGGGACAATTACTTCTAGCTAAGTATTGCCACCTCTAGCATCTGTGCAAAAATAACAAACATGTTAAATGTTAAGAAAACTTAACAATGAAGGACAAGTAGTTTGAGCCAGAAGGAGTGCCAATAAGAAAACTTGCATAGCACTTACGAGTACACAGTTGCTGCACTGACCTTGAAACACAGCACTAAGAGAATTAATTTCTGTAATATTAGATATGTTAATCAATGTGAAAAGCTGCAAGTCTGCATACTGGTTTTTATTCTCAAGTTCTCTTCCTTAAAAGCACATATTGTGTGACTCATGAAAGAACCTTATTAGGAAGAAAACAAGATAAAGTAGAAAGAGAGAAACAAACAGAACAAAGTATGAGAAGACAGACATTAAAAAATACTGTTTTCAAATGTATTAATAATTAAAAAATGTTTACACTATGTCTGTGAAACGTCAATCAATAAAAGTGTTGGGCTGTGCCCAAGGCTTAAAATCTTTGATTTGACTAGAGGCTTTGGGGGGTGAAGTGGGTACTCATAAGCCTGTGCATTCCCCATTGGAGCACTGCTGTGTTAATAGTTTGTAAATTAATAGTGTTCTTTGCCTTTAAAAAAAGAAAATGGGGCAAGGTGTGACTTGTCTTCCAGATATGTTGCAGTAATGCTATATTAACCAATTCCATAGACACACACAAAAGCAGAAAGGGCAATAAGAAAACACAATCTGTTTTAATATTCTAGCAGGCTATGCACAGCTATGGGTAAAAATACTTTTGAAATAATTAAAAATCATCTAAAATTCTGAAATGTCAGGTTTTGAGCTCATTTCACAGAACTACCCTAAAAGCCCCCTATAAAATTGGTGAGTTCTGTCAGTAAAAAGCTAGTTTTACAGAGGTATTAGTCACAGAAAAGCAAGCAAGTCTAAGCTGCTGTAAGCACCTTTTATAGAATAAAATAGGAAGAGTTCCATTCCTGTTCACAGAAAGCAAAGCTTCCTAAAATAAGTACAGCAACAAATGAAAGCCAAAAATGTTTAAAAAAAAACAAAATTAAATTTATCCTTGTTGCAGGAAAAAGGACAACTATACACAGTTGTGTTTTTACAGCTGACCTGAATCTTGACACTGTGAGTACTTTTTTTGCAACTGAAGACATCTTTCCTGAACTTAACACTTCTTATAAGATACCTACATGTTTCTTCTGACAAGTAAAATCTGCATGGAAGAAAACCATAGCACTGGGGAAAAGCAAGTGCTCATACAATATTTGCTGATTAAAATTTTGATTCATGCTGCTTTTTCTGGATAGTAAATTTGCATGGAGATGAAAATTTCTAAAGCTAGTTGTAGATAAAAAAGAGAGAGTGCCACCTGCTGGGTTTGGAAATGTGTTAAAGCTGCTTTTTTGGTCATTTATATGAAGTGCTATACTGTTGTTCAGTGTTTTTAGGAGCGGAACTTTGAAGTAATGTTCTTCTTGCTAAGAACTTCTGTAACTTAAACTACATCTTATGAAACAATTTACAGCCTCCTTGGTAAGTTTCAGAAATATCATACTTAACTGAATATTAAATCCTTTGCTGCTTTTTATAAAGTTTTTATAAAGCCTTTATTTTCCCATGCGTTGTATGTAAAGGGAAAAAGGTAGAGCTACAAATTGGAATAACATTGAGGAATCATTCGTTGTTAAAAAATTCATTATTTAGGTGTGGGTTTTTTTATTAAAAGAAGGTTAAATCAATGATAGGTGTGCTCCATAAAATCATCATGCATAAAACAATTTTTAAGGCTCTGCTACCTCATACTGAAAGGGATAACTTGTATTAAATTCAGTTTGGCAAATTAATTATTGTTGATTTGCTGTAATTTATGATTAATGTTGCTAATATTGCTATAAAAATCCAAAGGAAAATTTGCTAAAAAGCTTTAGTCAAGGAGTAGTTTTATTTGGTGTCAGTATGATTTAGTTGGTTGTTTAGAAGTATGGAAGCTGATTTTAAGAACAGAACAGCTGTTCTCTGTTCTCATAAGAAAATAAATTCTTAATGAAAACCCAGCTACTGAGTTTTTAAAATTTACAGATATTTTTAATGTGAAAATGCAGACCAAGCCTTACAATACAACGACTTAATGGGTAGTGGAACGTCAGGATCTATTCCCAAGTTAAGTATTACTTTAAACATGAGATTCTCTATTTAAAAAAGCTTGCCAGACTTAAATAAGATCTTTCTAAACCATTTTAAAATAGCAAAAGTCGGAAGAAGACTGGTTCTGTTATTATATAGATAAGCACTGTTTTTTGTCACTTAGGTCAAAGTTGAAAGCAAGGGTTTTGTTGTTGTTTTGGGGTTTGTTGTATCTCAAAGACAGGCAGGAAGCCAGGGTAGTTACACAAAATGGGAATGTCTGTAGCTCTGTTACCAGTGTGGCTGTGTATTGGGGGGGGGGGGGAAAGAAAAAAAAAAGGGGGGGGGGGGGGTTTTTTTAAATTTTACCTTTCTCTGGAATGGAATTGTCTGCTGTTGGCTGAGCCTAATGTATATGCAAATATGCTTTCAGAGTTGATTAAAACAAGGAACATCAACATATGCTTATCTAATAACCATGACCTCAAATAATTGCTATTCCCTCCCAATCCCTGTGTCACCAAGAGGATTGGCAAGACTTCTACACTGCTTTTTTCCTCTGTTTATTAAAGCCTATTTAGGCATTGTATTTTTCCTGTATTGGACTCTGCTTCATTGCTTAAAAAGCTTTCTTGTCGTAAATTATGTTTCATGTAAACCCATTTTTAAGGACCTGTACCTTTATCCTATAGAATCCTGTAAGTATTAGGAAGGTTTCATTTTTTAATCAAAAAGATGTTCTTTCAGTTCTACTACTGTATTCTCATCTTCCATGCATTTTTCAAACAGTAGGGGAGGATGATAAGGAGAAACAACTTGCTAGAAACAAAGCCAAATACCACCTTAATAGGCATAGGAAAAAATAACCAGTGGAAAAGGAGGGGAAAAAGTAACTATACCTGCTTAAGAAATCGGTCAGATGCATGGCTGTGCTTAGCTAACACGCTTGGCAGAGCGGGGTTTGCATATTCAAATTGAGGATTGTATGTGAAATCTGACTTGAAGAATTTCATCTTCTCTTTCTCTACATTGGAAGGCTTGATTGCAGTCAGTAAACAGAGTTTTTGGCCTGAGACATCACTTTCTTTTCCATGGCTTTTTGAGGACTGGGATTGCTTTGGCTTTGTTAGATTAAAATGCCTCTTAGTTCTACTTCTGGGTCGTGATGGCAGTCCTACGCTGCTCCCTGCAACCGAAATACTGTTTGTAAACTTCATGCTGGTAGACACTGGGCCAGTGACAATGATGGAGGGCTGTCTGTTTGTGCAGTACCACCCACCGCTGAGCAAGGGTAGTGGGACTTTGATTTTGCGGTGCTCATTGCTTCGCAAGGTGGTAGAACACTTCATAGTTTTTCTGTGTTTCTTGTGGTGAGCAGATGACTGCTTTTGAGCGTGGTGTTTTTTCTCCTCTTTGCTCTGCAGAAGGACATTGTAGCTACTGGTTCCTGTTGTGAAAATGTCCTTAAGGATCCCAGAAGGTGGGTGCTGGAGGCTGTTTTCATTATTAATGTTCAGCTTATGTTCTTCTGGACTCAGGACTGATTTTTTAGAAAGCTCTGTCTTAGGCCAGTGAAGTTTTTCTGCATTGAGGGGAAAAAAAAAAAAAAAAAGCTGAGGAAAAATTTGATTGTTTCATACAGCAATACTAATCTTAAGGACTCAAAACTGCAACATAAATGAAACACAGAACTTGTCTTAACTGGAGTCACATCAAGTTAATCTTGACTTCTAGACATATGGGAGAATTGTGTGTGTGTATATCACTTTTGAACAATTAGACTGGGACTTGGAAGATCCAGCTAAACAAGTATTTTATGCTTGCAACTCCATGCATGAGTGCACTGTTGGCAGCTAAGAACTAACTTGTCTAAAACAAGACTCTGTGCAGGACTTTAGGAATGTTTACTGTTACACTAATAAATCTTTAGTTTTGAGCAAAATCTGATTGACCTTTAAAATCATGCAAGGAAGGCTTTGTGTATGGATAAAGACTAACTTAAAAAATAGGAAACTGTATAGGAGTATGTGAGCAGTATTTACAGTGAAGTCCCACAGGGATCTGTGCTGTGATATAAGCAGTCTGGTGTGGTCTCATCTGCAAAATCCGATTCACAGAATTTACTCTCAGAAAGGATGAGAACATGGGAATGGGCCCACCACTGTGAACAATTTACAACACCATATGAATAGTAATATAAGTTTAAAAGATTTCAGTTTCGCATATTCCTTCTTAATACAGACAGTAAGCTATAAAGAGGAGAGAGAAGAGAGATCAGCTAGTTACAAACACACCTCTGAGTATCCTTAAGGCAACACTGTCATTTCATCTATTCAAAGTTGTTCTACAAAAACAGCTGGCTTTAAGAAAACACTTGAGAAGAAACATTGTAAACAAAACTGAATGCAAGAAGTGAATAAGGTTCCTTTAATGAATGAACCTTCCTTTCTTGCTCTGACCCCTGGCATGGCCTTCGGGGGAGGTAGGTCCCTGGTGCAGAGCAGCTGCATGGAAAAGTCATTGAGAATTAAAACTGTATTTAATATTTGTGCTGGCTTGTCAGAGAGAAGTGACCTCTCTTCACTGGTTCTAACCATCCCCTTCTCTCGCCAACCACTTTATCCTAGAACATTAGGTGAGCCGAAAGTAAGGGCACAAATAAATCCTGCCACAGAGAAATGCTTCCTACTTCTGCACCTAAAAAGAAATGATTCACAGAACAGGAGATATGGCCGGGGCCTGATTAAAGCCCGCAAAAGGGATTTGAGCTTCAGCCCGCAGTTATACATAGATGAGCTGTAATTACTTTACATGAGAGTAATTATACTCTGAATGGAACATTAGCAAGAGATCATTAAATGCCTCCAAGGGAAAAAAATCAGTAGTAGTTTAATTTCAGCTTTATTTTCATACTAAAGTTAGGTTTTGCTCCCAACATAAGCACCATGACAATGTATTTCATGCTGTTGGATCTCTGTCAGTTCCATGTCAATCTGTGTTCCTCAGTTCTCCTGAAGATGATGTTCTAAAAAGTAAAAAGACAGAGGTCCTATTTGCATGAACATATGATGGGAAATCTGCAGCCTGGGTGTTTTCTCCACTGGAAAGAGAGAGATATAGAAGCATTAGATTATTCTCTTCCACTAAAGCATGCGTATCTTATGCAAGCTCAGTTTTGTTTCACAATGAATTTGCAAATCCTCTTTCTACGCTTGGTGCAGGAACATGCTTCTTGGCATTCCTGTTCAAATTCTGTCAGATTGTTCTCATCACATATGTGACAACCTGTCTACATGGCATATCTTGCTTTACCATGAGCTGTTATGGTGAGAAATCACAGTTCCCATCACAAGGAAAACACCATCAAAACAACTACCTTAAAATGAAATGCATTTCTTAGATAACAGAACAGGATGGCTGGTCTCACGTATTTGTTTCTTGGCAAGTATTTGAGGTTGACTTCAGGCCTGTACCAGGTATTAGAGTATAAGAATCCTTACCTTTAAGAAGGGCAAATGAAAAGGAAGGTTTCCAGAATGTCTGTACACAGAAATATTACATTTCTGAGCATGTGACTTGGCTTGTGTAGACAAAATTGAAGTTGGTAGTTACACAGCTGCTACTTAAAATACAGATGAGATAATAATGTAACACTAGCGGCGTTAACACTTCACTTTCTCTACTAATCAATTCTCAAAAGCCACAAAGAGCAGAGAAGCCTTAAATTGCTACTACATAGGGAATAAACTGAATTAATACCACACGTGTATCTAAGAAGTGATAAAGAGAAACAGAATTCAAAGAAACAACTCAAAATGACCTTAAACTGCCCCCAACCTCTTCTGTCAGTTCAATACCAAAAATTCATGACAGTAAGCTTTCAGAGTACAGTTGGCCAGTAACAAATGCATTTATATCTAGATAATTTCTGAACATCACAAGTCAGAATTCTCCTGCAAGTGTCACAAATGGTGGTCAAATGCTGAACACGCACTAGCAGGTTTCACATGCACGTGGTTGACATCAAAAATAGTTGTCCCCAATTCTGTAGTTACTTTATATGTGCAATCTCATAGCAAAGTGGTTTTTCAGCTGCCAAACTAAGTATGGCTATCCTTAATTTTCTCCCGATGAAAGAAGGATACTGTTTCACACGTATTTGTTCTGGAAATCTGGAATCAACAGATAATCTAGCAGATTTGAAAGATTATATTAGATAACACGGCAGTTTTCACACAAGTCATTTAACTGCCAGTCTGAATTTTTGGATTGGTCCTGGGAACATCATTATTTTACAAAATAAACTAGAAAATAATATTTAAGACAACATCAAAATCATGTCGCAAAACACCAAATTTTTAAGTTCTTTATCTAGTACATTTGTTTAATCTGTAATAGTCCCATTTTAAACTCACTTACATCTGTAAGTCAGACAGCATCAACCAAACTAAAAATACAGTGTCTTCTAGGAAACTCAACTTATTAAAACATATCCAAGAGTTTCCAAGGATTAGCAATGCCTGGTGATTGAAACAGAGGTCTAGTATTCTGAATATAAAAACAATTCATAGCACAGCCTGTGTTCTGGAAACATGCTTCAGTGTTTCAAGAAGTACTGAGATATCACACCGCTATAAAGTAGCCAGGCAGAGAATGGATTATCAACCCACATTAATTACAGATTGGCCAGCAGTGATTTCCAGGTTTTAAACTCTGGATACCATGGGACAGATGTCAACAGATTACTTCTAAAAGGTCTGAGAAAGGCAAATTGAAAGTCACTGTACTATGGCATAATTCTATGCTGCATATCACGCTACATATCGTATAGGTTTTATCTTTTGTATCTCATCCACATGTGTTCTGAGAAGTACAAATTTGAATTTCCTGACTTCACATACTTCAGTTTTTGCAGCAGAATACTGTCAAAGAACATATGCCCAAGCCTCCAGTTACCTTTGAGAACCTCCATAAAACCATATAATTTATGTGCAAAGATTCTCTTCATTGATCTCACTTCCAAACACTCGAAGTCACAAAGCCCCAAGTCCTTCAACAATTAGAAAAAAAAACCACAACAAAACTAGCACAGTCTCTCCCAGAAAGATTTCCCATCATGTTTACTTCCACTTATTTATATTTTGTTTCTCTCTGCAACAACACAGTAATAAAAACATAGGTCCTAGAGACATGGCTGAATTGCTAAATGAAACAATCTATCAGGTTTGGAGTGGAAGGTGATGATGTAGAAAGAAGCAAGGAGGGGGCAAAAGAGCTGCCTGTCCCCATGTTGGCATCATGAGGGTACCAAAGGACAGAAAACCCTCCTGCTCAATGGAAATTTGCTCTGATTGGCCTGGAGTAGAGCTCTGTCCCTCTTTGGAGCCACTGTGTTTAGTTTCTTCTACCCCTTAAGGTGGGTTAGCAGGGCAGCCAGCCAGCCAGCGGCAACTTCCCCCATGTGTCTAAAGCATCTCATGTGAGAGCAGGTCATGCTGTAGCCAAAATCCCATCGTTCTCAAGATATTTGCTGGAATTGGCAGTACTGGACTTACTCCATCCTGCAGATGTAAATATACCATGTGTCACAGAGCAACACAAAATACCACAGGCTTGATTTTACCCACAGGGGAGTTTTACCCCTGTGTAACTTCATTTTATATACATGTAGCTATTCCAGTGTCACAGCAGTACCGGAGAAGGGATGTGGCCCAAGACTGCTAACAGAGGATATGTGGGAACCACAAATCTCATTATAATTCTGCACTGATTAAATACTTTCCATGTCTAAGTTGCACCCCAGTCACTAGCTGTGAATCTTGTAGCATCGCAGACACTGCCTAATCTTGTCAGAGGTTATTTATTAGGAAAAACAAGTTAGACTTTATGTTATATTCAGGAAGTAGGTTATATTGTTGATTTCCATCCTTTAGAAATTGATGAATTGAGCTGATCTTTTATTATAATATGTGTGGTAAAATCCCAACATAAGAATTTTTCCAGACTTTGGAGAGTGTTATAGAAAAATCTTCCTCTAGGCTACTGGGTAGCTACTATCCAAGCAGCTTCTTAAATACCTGTTCCATAGATGGAATGAGGTTAATGATAGATATTTGTGGGCACAGATGTCTGTGTCCAGCTAGCCTTGCTCTAAACAACGTAGAGAGCTCCTGCAGTTTTCGAGCAGCTGTCACTCAGGTTATGTACACATAATGGACAAATCCTTTCCAAACTGTAGGTGTGATTCTTACGGTGCTTAGCAAAGATGTTCTTGGAGCAGATCCTCCTATCCTAGGAATGTAATGGTCTGAGCCACTGTTTTTGGTTTTCAGTTCACCATTACCATGTTAGAATACACTTGAATTTTTTATGTATAAAATCAGAAACCACTTCCAATAGCTTGACTTGAATTTTCAAATTTATAGAAATGCAGATAATGTATGTGATCTGTCTACAACTAATGTGAAAATAGTGAAGTTTGAGAGATGAGAAGAAAATACATGGATGTGACAAGTAAGATTTCTCCTTTGACACATTTTGCAAATGTACAATTACATTACAAAGAAATATTTCTCTTCAATATTCAGATAATATGAATAGATTAACAACTACATGTAGTTTATGAGCTCTAGACTGTATGGGTGCAGAGGGCTGTAGAAAGAATATTCTGCAAAAAACATGCAACAGAGAGTGTTGTATATGAATCTATAATGTTCCACTGCCTCTCAAACACTACAGGCTTATGTTTGTGGCGCAAGAGAATCTGGCCAGATTCCTGTGGTCTATTTCCTCACCACTATAAACACCCTTAAGGTTTACAAACACTCAAACTTTGAACAGAAAGTGTCAGGCAACTTGAACTAGACAGCACTGGAAGCTCTGTCTATAATGACTGAAAATGGTTTAGCTATAGCATTAGTCAGCAAGCTCCTGTAAAAATACTGGCATTGAGCTATTTTCTATTTTCATAGCATATTAGATATTAACTACAGCCTGTATGATGTTGTGAATTTTGACATTTAACCTAAGACTCCCCCCCCCCCAAATATCCACCTACTTACTTTGCTTCTGTAACAGCGTTATCTGTCATTCAACTTTAATTCTGAGCTCCAAAACCAAGGGCAAGTTTCAACTATGAGCCAACTTATAGGTCTGATTCATTAACTGCCAGTGTTTGTAAATAACTCTGAAACATCCAGCATTTACAGGACTCATTGGCATGATTTTGGACTGTGCAGTTTGTTTTTTCTTCTTTAAAATTACAATGATATTTAATATGTACTCTTTCTACCTTAAAAAGTATGAACTGACTTGTAAGCAATTTCTTGCATGCATGTTTCTACACTGCAATATATTATGTAAATGACTCCAAATTCAGGTTCTTCAAATTAAATTACATGAGCACAGTAATAATCAGTAAAAGTGAAGATTTGGCCCTAATGAAATGAAGTAACAAACTCCCATTGATTTAATAGACTTGGGATATAATCACAAAACACTGATTTATAGACAGACCTGCACAGGACAAAGCTCCTATCCAAGGAGATCTCTAGCTCACTCTACTGCAGCACGGGTGTGTTCAGGAATATTTGGTGGAGGGGTATGGACCCCAAATAACTATCTTTCCTTTAAGAAATCTCAATCCTTTAAGATTACAGTTGCTGTTGTACATCTCTAGGGATGCTCTATCTGATTCCACGAACTTTATTTCTACTGCCATTACCAGAAGTAACACCCTACTGATATCCACGCACAGACAGAATAGCATATAAATTACGCAGAGAAGAGTAACTGTAAGAAATATCGATTATGACTGTGACAGTATGGTACGAGGGACACGAAGCTATCTCCACCGGATCTCTTCTAGATAGACTTCCCCATCACAAAGTAACATTGGCTTGAGGCAGCTGAAGTAATGACACATGAAATGACGTCAAATTTAAACAAGAAACACATCTGAGTGAAAAATTTGTTTTGCAGCAGCAACTGCACTGTAGGTTTTCCTACATACCACAGACACACAGCACTGAAGATAATAGTTTTGTGTGGTATCAAATACTTCTCCATATTATCGTTATGTAGTCATAATACAGGGTTTTATATACACATAACTTCTGTGAAAACACAGCAAAGAGGAGAGCCAAAGAGTGAAAGACACCAGATGTAATTAGTAAGAGTTTTATTAGCGTTCTGACTTGCATCTTCTGCCCCTCGCTCCGCTGAAAGGCAGGCGGGTGTCACCTCCCCGCTCCCCAGTGCCCCTGGGAAGGGACAGGGCCCGCAGGTAAACACACTGCCGTGCCCGCTCACCGACGGGGCTCCCGCTTCGCCGCCTTCCCTCAGGTGCGAAGCACCTCCCCGCCCTGTCCCCGTGGAGCAGGTACTCTTACGGGAACCCCTCGGCTGATTTCTTTTTTTCTTTTTCTTTCTTTTTTTTTTTTTTTTTTCCGCGGGGGAGCAGCCACCAGCACCCCGCCTGCCTCAGCTCCCGCGCTCCAGGCGCTGTGGAGAGCGCCTGAGGGGCCGCGGGGAAAGCGGCCCCACCTCGCCCCTCCTCCTGCCGCCGCAAGCCCCTGGCCGAGCCGGTAACGCCCCAGCCGCCCCGGAGCCGAAGCCGGTGCCCGGTCTCGCCTCAGGCTGCCGAGCCGGGAGCGGTACTCACCGGTGACACGGATGGACTCCAGCATGGTGCTCCGCGGGCAGCTCTTGCCCCGCTGGCTTCCCCGTGCGCGGCGGGCTCGGCCGGGGCGGGCGGCGGGCTCCCGCCTCCTCGGCGGGGAGGAGCGGGGAGCCCTGAGGGGAGGCGGGGGGGG